TCCTAGTTCTGTAGCTCACCCGGTGAAGCGCCTAATCTTAATAAGTTCCCAGAAGCGCGAAATAGTGTAAAATAAAGGGTCCCACCGAACGAACTAACAAGGAATGGTCAATTGGTCAGTCCGGCCATTTAAAAGGAGGTGTAGCCATGTGTGCGCGTCTCGGCGGCTCGGGTCAAATCGTGCTGTCAGCGGCTCGTCTTATGCAAGCCGGAGTGGCGACAGGAATGTAAGAGGGCGCCACAGTGAGAGAATCGCCTCGTAATCCATTCATAGAATTAGTGCCGGCAAAAACTGAAAGCAGATTTGAGACGCAGCGTCGTCGCAAGCATGCGTGCATCGATACCCATCATACCAATTGGCCTGGACGAGCCATTTGACCATGCTTGTAAGCTCGAAGAGTCACCAGTTTCTCAGCAACCTCTCGTGTTAGCCGTGAGCAATAAAGGGAGAACATTGTACTGTCGGCGCGTACCTATGTCGTATGTGGTGTTGAGGCGAATGATAGATAATGAGAAAGATATGTGAGTTCCGTTCAGCACACCGAAGCACACTCCAGGTAAAAGCAATGGGGATAGGCAATGATGAGGGTTAATGTATAATGATTGACATAGCATAGAACTTTGCGACTGGACGTTCGCGACCATCCACTGCAGCGAGAAGTTACGATAAAGTACGTATGCGCAGCGTGGAGTACATGCACCTTGGAAGCAGTAGTCAGGGGGCAAGGAACGAAATGGGTGCTTATTGGATGGTCAAAGGTGCCCTAGTTGCCAGCCGTACAAGGCTGCCATCCTTGCTGAGCCCCGCCACGATCTGTGCCTCCCCCAACAGCAGCGCCTTCGATTGCCAATGTGACGAGATATTCCACTTCCAGAGTGTATCCTATAACTTTTCATGGGGTGCGTGATCAATCAGAGCATGATCCTTGCCGAAGTGATAGAGGCTATCAGCATAAGATGTGCAAACGACCTCCTAATTGGTTGCCAGCTCGTACATTATCGGAGGTCAACGGGCATAGGGGTCCCATTTTGCGCCTTCTCGACGGATTTCTTTGCTTTTTTCGCCACTGGGGCATTATTCAGCATCTCCACTTCTACTATGAACCCATTCCAAACTTATCGTAATCCCTCGCTTTAAGGGAATGGTGAAGTCCAGAGTTGATCAGCAATTCGAATTCTTGACAATAGGCTACATGTCTGGAAATAATAACGGGTAATCCAGAATTATGATGGTCATTCTGGCTCAAACGGAAAGTGCGCATTCTTGGAAGGAATAATTAGGAAATCAGAGGCGTTACAGATTTCACTAATGACAAGAGAAGGATGGTATGTCGAAGTGGCCATATAAAATGAGATGCATATCATCTGAGAGGTGTTTAACGCGCACCTAAACTCTTCCATATCTGCTGGACGTTTCTCTTAACAAAACAACAGTTGTTTTGTGGTTCGGAGCAGGCTCAAGCTCGCCACGAATATGATGCGCGCTCGCGAATGGTAAGAGTTGTCCATTGGATACCATGCAGGTTTTGTGTCTGCAAGGCCGAGGTCTGGGTCCTCATTTCTGTTTTTTTTTTGCAGAAGAAGAAGAGTTTTTTAAGGTATGCTCAAAATTTTGCGAACTATTTTTGCATTTTTGAAAAATCTAATCCTGCCAAAAACTGTTTGACAAAGACCAAGGGAAATTAACTGTTTCGAACAATTCAACCGTAGATTGTTCTGATCGTTGTTCTACACAACAATCAAGCAAAACTTCTAAATTTGCGAAAATTTGTAAACAGCGGTAGAATGATATGCTGAGAAGAGTCTCATAATCATTTCGCACAAAAACCCATTATTATCCCTCTCCAGAGTAACAGTGCGTACCAAAAGTATGTTGACACCCTCAAGGAATTTCCCTAGAGGAACTGTTGACTTCTGCATCATGAGATCGTCACCATTCAATTTCTGGGATACGAGTAACCTCAGATCTTTTCAGTTCTCACTTTTCACATGCAACTTCAATTTTTTTTGTTTGATAGAAAACTTTCCCTGATTTCCCCGTATTAAAAGATGTGGACACTTTTCGAAAAACAGAAATATCTTTAGAACCAGGGAATGGTAGTCCCACCAGAGATTCTGGTAAGCTCAATCATTTTGTTCGGCATGTTCTGAACCAGTCTCCTGGTACCTGTTTCGTCGAACTCTTCCAAGCAGCTAATTTCAGCAACTTGTTAGGTCACTTGGGGTACCACTTTTTCTTTGATAGAAACAGTGAACCACTAACCCCCTACGTGCTCGGTAAGGATAATAGGATAATAAGGTCTGAGGTAAGAGCTCAGCCCATCAAAGCACCACGCGACGACCGGACCCTCGCGTTATTGCCCAGCTCGTACACTCAAATGGAATAACGCGAATCCCCTGGGCTTGCATCAAAGACAGTCGTGTTTGACCGTCTGACTTCTCGAAACCCCGGTACACTAACTCGGACCCGAGCACCTTCTGTTATAATCCTAATTTGTCATACCTGAATACTGCAAGTCAAACACTTAGAGACCTGGCCTGTCGATCAATTTCTCCCGCTGCTTCTGCAACCACCTCAGACAATTGATGATTCTCCGTCCGATTGTCTTTTTGGGTACATGCCTGCAGGTCAACCGACGAAGGTCTCCCATTCAAACTAGCACTGAGTCCGCCGAATAGCCTAAAGTCTTTTCTCAACACAGTCGACAGTTTGTCTAGGGAAGGTGAAATTCTCACCACCGTGTCTTTTATCTTATCGTATAATTTGCACAAAAGTTCGCCGTCTGTTCGAGTTCCAACGTCCCAATGTGTGATCTCTTGTTTTCGAGGCGCGGGAGATTGCAGATCTCTTGTCGGTAAGAGGCCGGGATGGCTGGTGGCTGGCGCATGGCAGGGTGGCCATCCGCTGGATTACTTAAGACTTTTTCCATCTTCTCTCCTGTCCGTGTGCTTATCGATTGGACTGGAACATCCGAGCCGTCTTTTTCACAGGAGGGAAAGTCATTTAATCGCTGAACATAGACTAGCACGACGCAAAGAAATTATGGACACTTTTTTGGCACAGGCTATTTTTAGTTGTTTTGAAACAAGTAAAACTTGAAGTCGAATCCTCAAGTCCAGTGTTCGGGAGCTTGAGCATCGGATTCTGGATCTCCTTCCCAACAAAAACCGGACACTCTATCGGGCATTTAGTTGTGGTTTTCGGTTCAAATGGAAGGGTCCAAACAGAGTAGTCTACATGAGACTCCAAACAACTCGAACCCTGCTGCAAGAGCGGCAGGGAAATTACAGGTCCTCTTTAGAAAATTGCCTGCTGTGAAGAGGAATAATGCCAGAATAAGTAACGAAAGGAAAGAAAAACCAACCGCAGTTAGGAAATTAGTACACAAAGTTGATGTGCCTCAGGGTGTCCATACTTTTGATACAGAAAAAATTTCCATAAAAAATGATTTGCTGAATTAGAACGAAATTTTTTGCCCAAATTGTCACTGTAGGTTATCGACTACGAGAAGTTGAATGGTGAAGGAATTATGGGCGAAAACTAACTCTTTAGCTGACCCCTGAGAATCGATTCTAACGTGTCCACTTACTTACTTTTTTGGTACGCACTGTATTGCATGGGATAGCGACCCTACAGAGGACAAGAACTTTCACCGAGCGCAAGCAGTAGGCGAAATTCATGCTCACAAACTCTACCTACATCTGTGAAAACATTTCCAGCAAAATTGGGATTTTCATATTCACTCCGAAAAAAAAGCTGCAAGCAGTAGTCGTGGGTTGCTGTCAATGTCAGGAAAAGGTTCCGGCGGCGCGGCACTAAAAGTGGAGGTTGTTTCCATGATGAGTGGCTTTCTTTTTCCCCACACATGGAGTTTCAAAAATTAGAATCTTTTTGCTGCCAAATGTTGTACTCGTGGGTGATGTCGAAGGCGGTAGCTTCTATTCGGGCTATACTACCCATGGCCAGAGTCAACCCTGCGTTGCGCAGTTCGCAACGGCACGTTGAGAGATCCTCAACGCACGCTGTATGGGCGGAGACGCAGACGGCTCGAGCATGCGAGTGCGAATGTTCGCACGAGAGAGTGTCTAATCGGGCGAAACTGCGCAACGTGGCCGTTGAGAACTGCGCAACGCAGGGTTGACTCTGCCCATGGCTACCTCACTTTTCGATGTAAGAGTCAAATTTTCGATTTGGCTAGAACTTTGTTTCAAGGGGCTGTTTGACTCTTTGAAGGATATAGTCACACTACGCAGTGTAAAAATGCCTCGTTCGTGCATTGCGTACGCTAGAATGCCGCAATGCTTAAGTCAGAATATTCGAAAGAAAAATTCATCGGAAGACGACATTTAGCTTTTGTTAACGTGCTATGAAAAAAGCTAAGGAAACTGGTTGAGTGCGTGCACCCCGTGTTGGACTTGAAAATCGCTCTATTTGACCGTTAGGCCATCACACCATTTTTGGGAAAACTTCGTTCTTTTACAACATCGTTCAGAAGTTTTGAACGAGGGATTTGGAATCAGCGTTTGGAGGCGCATTGGGTGGTATACATAATTTTAAACGGCTTCGTCGGCCTACCATTCTTCCCTTGTGAGTCCTTTTCAATGGCAAAACCCAACGCCAAAGAACGATTGCCACGATGGATCAAACGGTAACAACTTACCATTTGTCCGAGCACTTCATGATAAACTCGAAAACAGCTGGCAGTGTTCCTTCGGCTAATTTTCTCAGGAACACTTAAACTCATTGTCAAAGCGAAAGCCTTTGCTGACAAAAATCTAGCTAGTGTTTTCACAACAGTCTTGTCGTTTGTTATAACAGCCAGCACTTTCTAATCGCTCTAATCGCTTCTACAGTTTGTTCGCTGTTATTTCAATGAATATTTGGTACAAATTCATCACTTCTCAAATTGACCATAACTCCACCCTTTTAGCGGCTAGCGCACGGCGTGGCATGCACAATTAGACTAGAATATATCCTGAAAAGCTTATAAATCCAACAGTATGCCTGAACGATGTGGTTTCAGACAAGGCCTTCGGTGCCTATGAGCCGGCCCATGCCCCAGTATGGCGGTGGCGGTGGCGGTGGCGGTTACGGTGGTGGTGGCGGTGGCGGTTACGGTGGCGGTGGCGGTGGCGGTGCCGGTGGAGGTGGAGGTGGACAGGTACGTAGGAGCGCTGTTATTTTGATTTTGCTCGCTTCGTTGGCGGTATTGCAAGATACGGAGGCATGCTTTAGAACCAAGCTGAGGAGGGAGCGGTGCCTTCAGGGAAGTAAAAAAAATTGTTTATGCATTGTGGAGTCTCTCTTCCTTCAAGGGTTAGGCCCCGTTTTCAGCAGATAGAAGATGTTCTATGCGGTTGAAAAGCATTGCCTGCACATTGCCTCTGTATGTTGCGATAGCGCCGCTTCGTTTTTTAAGATCTAGATTCGATATTGTATCGAATAATCGAGGCAATCCTTCAGCTCTGCGTAACTGGACCACCTGGACCACCAGGACCTCCTGGACCGGAAGGTGCTCCTGGAAACGATGGTGCGCCTGGAAATGCTGGTGCACCAGGAAGTGATGGAGGAGGTGGCGGAGGAGGCGGGGGAGAATTTTGTTTCGATTGTCCTCCCGGCCCTGCAGGAATGCCAGGACCACCAGGACCAAAGGTGAGCAAGTTACAGTAAAGGCATCTGCTAGTATTAAAGTACAAGTGCTTTAGGGCCCACCAGGACCACCTGGATCAGCCGGAATGTCAGCCGCAGCAATGCAACCTGGCCCTCCTGGACCGCCAGGACCACCCGGACCACCAGGAATGGACGGACAGCCTGGTGCGCCTGGAAATCCTGGCAAACCTGGGACACTTATACAAGGTGGCGGAGGAGGTGGAGGAGCTATGGGACCTCCTGGTCCTCCAGGACCACCTGGTCCTCCAGGAGCGCCAGGAGCCCCAGGCGATGCTCTTCCTGGTCCTCCTGGCCCTCCAGGTGATCCTGGAATGGCTGGTGGACCAGGCCAACCAGGACCACCCGGTGCTCCAGGTTCTCCAGGTGGTGCCGGAGCTGAGGGCGCATGTGGCCATTGCCCCACTCCAAGGCTTGCACCTGGATATTAACATGGAATCTTATCTCATGGTTCTACTGTAGATCCTTCAGTCAAAAACTATGAAGTTAGGTAAAATACTGCTATGATACATATATCCTTGCCATTGTCTCTACATTGCCTTTGTTATTCTAATGGTTTGAAGTTCATACGGTATTTAATTCGGTTGTGAATATGATAACAAATTTTGGATAGGATGCCTCACAAATAGCACTGCCGTGAATGATTATGTCCTACAATAATTTTGTAGTTGTCAAACATGTTTTTATAAAATTTCCGGATTTTTACTTGGCTAAACTGGCTTGTAGAGTTTCAGAGCTGTCAGACTTGAAGCGAAGACACAAAATATGATGAAAACAGTTGCCAAAAATTCATCTGATTGGAGCAATGAGTGCGAAATTCTCAGCACACAAATATTCGCAGTGGCAAAAAAACGGATGCCATGCGGACTATCCCGCCACACAACTTCTACTCAGTAACGTGGTGGTATTCAACAGCGACTTAGCCTTCATGCTGACTTGTGAAGCATGCAAGTTTCTATTTGTTCTTCATCTTGCTGATGAACGGACGCGAGGAGGATGTGAGGCTCGATTGGCTGGGGTAAAGTCGACCAGATACTTGGTCCTTGTGTCATGAACGTTATGCGTGCTGCCAGTTTTCGCCCTGCCACACCACCCACGCCTTGTTTATGGTTCTCAACAACAGTTCACCGCAAATTCTCGGCCTTTGCTTAAGCAGATTAGTCCCCCGGCAATCACCAGGACTTTGCATGCCTGCGTGAGCTTCCTTCCGCTGTGCTCCCTTTCACTTGTGACAGCAACACTTCTTGGAAGTGACGCGTGTACAAAAACGTGTCTTATGGTGTAGGGAGCAACACCACAATCATACCATTGGAGCGACTTCTTAATACATACAAGGTGGCAAAAATTTTTTCTGAACAGTCTGTCCATTGCTAGTTATTGGTTTGCAGGAGAGGAAATATGCCCAAGTCCTGACGAAGACCTGCTCGATTTAGAGGGCGGTTGCGCAGCAAGCAAACAGCTGAACTTGAAATTGAAGGAGTTCTTTGAGGGTCAAAGTTTATCTACGAACTGTCCAAAACTGAAAAGCAATATTAAGAGAAAGACCATCTTCAAACTGAACCCGCAGGAGAATGAGAGCGGACTCATACAGCACCCAAAGTGTGAGGAGAACTATTAAGAAGAGGAATGATCAAAAAGACGACGTGTAGGGTGACAAACAGTAAGAAACTCACCGAAAATCTGTTCAAATGATAGCGAATATGGAGTGCTTAACGACCTTGTCGCATATCAGCATATCAGATGGGTTCCCGCCGTTCAAACAAAGCAATATGGGGACCAAAAGTATCAGAAGTTGCAGGAGCTTCTTAAGGTGCGACAACCCTTAGACACTCTCTGATTTCTCAAGTAAAAGCTCAATGTTTGAGTGTCTTAAAACTCTCAGTATCACCTTCATCTTTTCATACCAGCTTCAATAATATCCACGAGCGGAAAGTACTCGCAATTATTCCGTTCCTAAGAAACTTGGTGAGTTGAGGGAGGATTTGTGCCTCTGGGATGATGTTTTTATCTATAAAAGCGCGGAAATCAATGGAAAGGACTATCAAGCGTAGATTTCGAGAACGCTGTTGAACGGGCCCGGGCCCATGAACAACGATCCACTTCCTCTAGACCACTTCAGCTGTTTCGCGGCGATATATTCATGGTCTGCTTACAGTCCGCATTCCATTAAACTTCTCCGTCTGGAGTTACATTGAAGAACTACCTATGAATCGAAATGCAAAACGTTTGGTGATTCTGAAAGGAGTTGCCTAAAATTCGGGCTAAAATATGGCGGGTGTATAATGGGAGGATTGACACTCTCATTTCTGTCTGAGTTTCTGTATCACCTGTCGTCCCATTGATCGTCGATTTGCTCGAGCGGGCGCCAGCAACGTCTCCATTCGTCTCTGTCGCGTACTAGAGTGGTCCAGTGGATCCTCCTTGCTCGAGGAACACGAAGCCGTTCATTCCTTCCGTTCAGAGCTTTCGTGAAGAAGTCTGACCATCGCGCCGGCGGCCGTCCAGGTGTTCGTTTGACGTCCCGAGGGATCCAGTCGGTATCGCTCCGATCCAACGGTCATCGCAAAATCGCATGACGTGTCCGGCCCACATTATCTTCGGTTCCTTGACGAAAACGGCAGCGTCCCTGATCTTCGATCGTTGGCGTAGTTTCGAAGTCCGGATTCCCCTCGCACTTGCGTTTATAGGTTTATTCCTAGCATCGTCCTCTCGACAGCGCGTTGGATAACGCTGACCGCATGCTCGTCCTGCTGCCGCAGTAGTCCACGTCTGCTGATGGCGTTAGGCTTACGACCAAGAAGGACAGCGGTAGAAAGAGCGGGGCACGGAGCCGGATATGTTCTTCGTCTCCTTCACTAGCTCCCTCGATGTTCTTGTATGCTGCCCCCAAGCCGCGTCGTTTCCTCATGCTCAGCTCTGGACTAAGGTCGCTCATCATATTGATTCCCCGCACTCCAGGTACCACGCAGCTGGAGCCTTTTGCGAATTGTCGTCTCCGATGAGCGTGAATGGGCATCAGGACACATTCCGTTTCTCAATAAGCACTCGCTTCGTTAGGTTCAAGCGTGCAGACCAACCGTTACCACTGCGCACGTTATAAATCACAGCCAGCATTCGCCGTCCTTGCTCGACCGTTCGTCGTTCCTATTAGAACATTTCGTCAGCATAAGAACGAAGGTGGTGTAGTTGCCGGCCGTCGACTATCACCCATGTCTTCCCAATATCGTTTTAACCGCATGGACGTCTGCGAGAAGCGGCGCTGAAGAGTTTTGGCGCGAGATGCGCCCTGTCCGGACCCGCGTTCCTCTTGACTGGTCTGATGATGACCTCTCTTGAGAATGGTGAGATTCTGGTCGTAAAGTTGCTGTAGAGCTCACGAAGAATCCTGATGTACTGAGTGGAGATGCCCGGGTTCCCCAAGTCTTTGATGACTGCTTCTGTCTCCACAGAGTCGTGTCTTAAGTCGATGAACGTGAGACAAAGCGACATCTTGTACTCTCGTGAAACTTCAGTGAGTCTCGCAACCGTGTGGATATGGTCGATCGTGCTGAACCCTCTCGGGAATTCTCCTTGCTTGCATGGCTGTCCTTCATGTAGTATTCTGTCGATCCTGTTAAAGATCACTCGAGTGAATAGCTTGTAGATTACAGACAGCAGGCAGATCGGGCGATAATTGCCAGTGTCGTCCAGTCGTCCTTTCTTGTACAGCAACACGGTTCTGCTGGTTTTCCACGGAGTGGGTACCTTGCATTCCGACAGGTAGCGCGTGAAGAGTCGAGCCAAAGTTTTTAACTGGCGGCGCATTTTCAGATGTTCCGGTTTGACCTTGTCAAGACCGGGTGCTGTGTCACCGACTTGATGGCGTGTCGGACTTCGGAAGAGAGAATTGAGGGGATAACGTATCCATCCTCTTGCGGTTGATAAGTAGGCAGATAGAAATGGCTATCGAAGAGATCCGAGTAGGAGTCGAGGATGACTTTCTCCATTGCCCTTCGGGATGCAGTAACTGCTCCATCCAGACCACGGAGGCAGGTCATCTTGGTCTTGTAGCTGGCAAAGCTTCGGCGGGCATTGCGGATGCTCCTCCCAGTCTCTGCTGCTTCAGCTAATACTGCTGCTCCTCGCTCCTTGAGATCTTCCTCTGTCGCCTCTCTGCACAGCTTCGCAAGCTCGGACGTGAGTCGGTGATTGCCTTCAGCTCGTGCGGCTCCACGCTGGCGTATCAGTTCAAGAGTTTCCGGAGACAGACGTGCCCTGGTGACTTTCAAACTCTCCGCCTTCCTGCCACAATCGTGAAGATGTTCAACGAGCTGATAGTACTCCTCATCGATGCTTTCGATGACGGAATCCCCATAAGCTAAAAAGGAAGCGAAGTGGTCCCAGTTGATGACTGTCCTGGGGCTTCGCTTCCTGAACTTTGCTGCTCTCTCAACACGCATCGAGAAGTGGATTAGGAGACGATGGTCTGATCCCGTGTAGATCTTCGGAAGGACATCGACATCGCTTAGGCAAAAACTTCGCTTGAAGATGATGTGGTCTATCTCGTTTTTGGACTGCCCATCAGGTGACTCCCAAGTACAACGAGAGGGCTTTTGGAACTGTGAGTTGGATGGTGTTGGTCGACATGATAAACTCAAACAGTCTTTCGCTCTGCTCATTCCATTCCATTCCGTGAGCACCGATGTGAAGTGCTTCAGCCGTTCCTCTCAGGCCAATCTTGGCGCTGAAGTCGCCGACGATGACCTTGAAGAAGGTATGATCTTACCTGTAGAACTTCTCCGATTCCATATAAAATGCTTCGTTTTCCTCCTCGTCGTAGCTCGATGTTGGTGCGTAGGCGACGAAGGTTGTTAAAGCAGGAGTTGAACCACATCTTCTCAATCTCAAACCTTCGATTCGGGTAGTAAGGCTTTCGTACAAATCGATGTTAATGTCCAAGTGCGTGTTGACGAAGACAGCCACACCGCTAACGCCTCTGCTGTCGCATGTTTCAAGGAATACTTCTTCTCCAGTATCGAAAACGTGTAGCGGGCGAAGCCTTCTCGTCTCGGTCAGTCGGATGACGTCGTACTTGATATTACTGGCCTCCATCATCAGATCTTCGATGTGAGCTTTGGATGCAAGCGTTCGTGCGTTGAAAGCGAGATCGCCATCTAATCCTCTTTCGTTTATGCAGCCTATCCAGTAAAAAAGAAAGAAAACATTAGTATATAAATAATATAAGTAAATGGTTCGTTTCGCCTCTTAATCATACGAGCCATGGTAACAATCATTCCCGAGGCTCTTCAGTGATTAGGGATGACCTTGTGTTGAGTGTCTAGTATGGATGTCACACAGAAAGGAAATGTGTACAGAGTTTAGAGATAGGTACAATGAGCAATAAAGTTTAAATAACTGATTAATCGGTGAACAAAAAAGAGTCTAGAAGAAT